CCCTCATTATTAAATTTCTGGATCCGCCACTGGGCTCTAACCCTAAAAATAGCGGTTTTATAAAGCTCTTAATACACAAGAAAATGAAAAGCAATATCCTCTTTCTAATTGTATTTCTCTTATTTTTTCTATCAAATTCAATAATTGTTTAATGTATAGAATTTTTTAACTTTTTATAAGACGAATTTAAATTATATGTTATTATATAAAAGTAAAATTAATTAATATATTTGAAATAAAAATATGTATAACTTTAAAAAATTTAATTTTTTTTATTCTGTTTAAGTTCGTACACCTTGAAATAATTTTTTTAATAAACATGATTTATTTCTTAAATTTTATTTTTTTATAACAATAATATTCAATGTATTAATCAATTAATCCAATATATGAATATCATTTTTGTTTTTAGTCAAATAGTCGACTGAGAACTTTTTTTTAATGTTGACATATTTACAAACTGATATATGATGCAAGAAATAGATAAAAGAAAAGTACTTTATCCTATTTTATTTTTATATGATTAATAAGTTTTTGTAACTTATTAATTTTACAAACGGATGTTAACTTATAAATATAATCTCTTGACGCATAAATTAAGTTACATTAATGATTAAATAGATGGTTGTTATGTATCAGAGATAGTAAGGATATTCGAGCACTACTGGACTAACATCGACGAGAAGAGAATGGGAACAAAATAAAGGGATTCGTGATAAACATCGAAAAGATACCCAGTGCTATGACAGAGATATGGGGAATTGGCAAGGCCTCATCCTCGCAAAATTCCTGGACACAAGAAATCTAATTGTTGAAGTTTATGCCAAATGAATGAATATAAATAAATTGAATCATTAACCATTGCTGGTGGGGTTTGAACCTAAAACGTGAGGAAAAGAAGCAAACGTCCCAACCACTGGGCTACACCATTCAAATGACAAATCTATCACGACATAATATATATAGTTAATGGAAATGAAAAAAGGGAAAATGACATAATAAGAACTCCAACATGGAATAATTGAATAATACAATAATATGATATGTATACACAAATGTTATAAATGATTAATATGTGAATGTATTTTATTTATATTTTAAATCATTTTAATGAAAAATAAAAATAATTTTAATATATTATAATTGAAATATAAATAAGAGCTTCATTGAATTAGAATTTTTCTGATAGTTGAGTGCTTATCGTAGTAAGCATTTTAGTTTATGCATTGACTTGTTTATATCACTGTTAGAGTAAGAATTTTATATTTTATTATTTATTCATAATATATTTAAAGAAATTTTTTAGGGGAAACGTGATTTTATTAAATTAGTCTATTTTAATATAGAGTTGTTAAATAAGATTAGAATCCGATCGATGTTATAATATTTTAAAATATAAGATATGATACATTTCAATTCAATAAAATTTAAATGATGAAGATAATTTATTTATTTAAAATACGTAAAATGATTCATTTCAATTCTAACATATTAAATTCACTTTATTTTATTTTTGCATTAAATATGATTTAAAATATAAATAAAACATATTTATTTATTAATCAATTATAATATTTGTTTATATATATTTTATAGTTTCATACTATTCAAATATTCTACGTTTGAGTTATAAGGTTATTTATTATCATTAACTGTATTATAAAATTATATAGATTATTTTATGTATATTAGACTAATTTAGTGGTCCAACTTAGTGGTTAGGGTGCTCAGTTTTTCAGTTTGTGTCCTAGGTTCAAACTCCATCAGTTGTGATTATTAATTGAATTAAATAAAAGTTAGGACCAAATTAATAGAATGTGTAAGTAATGAGGACTAAATTTGTAATTATATAATTTTATTAACTGTCACGTCATCTCCTCCGTTAATATTTAACGGCATGTGGCTTGATTGACAATATTTAAATAGTTGATCCGATTGACAAAATTACAAAATCGGTAGTTAAAGTAAAAGGGATAAATAGTTATGTGGTCAATAATATAGTTTACTCTAAAAAACTAATGTTTTTATAAATATTATATTTTAATTAAATTACATTTAGATTTTTAACTAATTTATAATTATACGTTTAGTACTTTATAATTTAATATTTTATAAATTAATTTAATGATACTCATCATTAACGGTGTTCATTCGTACTTATTAAACGTGACAGCTTCATCCTAAATATTATCTCTCTTTTTTAAAAAAAAAACTAAATACTTCTATTTGAATAAAAAAATATAAATTTCATCCCTTAACCCCTATATACTACTGCGAGTCAAAGTATTCTCAAAAGTTAGAACTCAAATTTCTTACAAGCACCAATGGGTTCCAACTTCTAACCTATCCTTTAATTGAAAGAGCATATGGTGCGCGAGGGGTCTATAGAAAAAGGTTTGTAGTAGCGAATAGGTAATGGAACCTCATGAGGAATAAATTAGTGGGATGACGGGATCCTTGGGACTACTTTTAGTGATGTGACAATTTAATACGTAATGTCATCGTTTGACAATTAATTATTTTCATCTAGCCTGAATTATTTTGATAAAAAATTAAAATATTGATAGTTAGAGTATTAAAAAAAAGAATATGAGTTAAAATGATAATTTAGGCAAACGTTGAGTACCGTGACTTTAAACTTTAGAATTGTTTATGAACTTTATATTTGTTTTGGTCTTCTATTTAAATTTATTGACACCTATACTTTTAATTTAATTTTTATAGAAATAATAATAGATAAATACTATCTATGTTGTGATAAGAATATTTACGTAAGCAATTATAGAGTTATTATAACTTATGTAAAATGATATTCAATTTTCTTGATATTGTTTAGTCATTTCGGATTTAGTTATAACGTATGAGTTGAATTTGAAGTATTACAAACACATGTATAAAAATTGCACTACTAAAAGAAGAATGAAAATGGTGAAAAAGAATAAGTTTAGCTTTGGTTTTGGAGGATCTCCGCCGATTGGAGCCTCCGTTTGAAGATCTTAACGATGGAGAAGCCCCTTTTGGTGCAGGTAGAAGCCTATCCCCGTTTAGATTCCACCCAATGGTAAATGGTGGAGATTGAAGAAAAAGAAACTGAACCATTTGATTTTATATTCATAGAGTTTGGGGTGTTTCCCGGTTAAACGAATACTAGATTTGTGTTTAGGAGGACAAAAACAAGTTTGGTAGGAAATTTTGGGATTCATCCATCGTTGTCACTAACTTGAATGGCAAATAACATGGTGGTCGATCATGACAAGTGATAACTAGAATATGGCTTAATTCGACAAGACAAAAAGAAAAGAAGATGGAGAAAAAGTAGAAAGAATAAAAGAGGAAAAAAACTTTTATATAGAACCAAAATAATGTCGTTTTGGTGTAAATAATATTACAATACCATTAACTATTTAATAGTGGAGTGATAAAAACATAACAAAATCAAAATTGAGTGTTCAATTTGAAATTGTTTTAAGTTTTGTGACCAAAATAGAAATAATGCCAAAGTTAAGTGATGAAAAACATAATTTACTCATAAGTTCTATAACATTGAAAGATTCCAAATAAAATATCAATATATTTTCGAAACATACAATTATAACGTTAGGCCTCTTGCCCCCATTTTTATTGTTTAAAAGAAAAGTTTTGGTAGCCAAAATTGATCAAAACACGTCGATTAAGGATAATAATTTTTTTTTCTAAAATTTTACTCCGAGTTAATGAGTATTGAACTTATAACCTAGAGGAAGAGATGATGCTAACTGAAAACTTTTAACCACTTATTCCATAGATAGATGACATCTTTAGATATTTATTGTTGATTATATCAAAGTATATCGAAGATGTTCTCTGAAACTAAATTATTTGTTGGTCCGTATTCAAAGCACCAATTGTTAATTTATATATCAAATTAATTTAGTTATTATTTTTAAACTAAATTGATTTATATATCAAAGTTTTGTTAATTTTTAAATAACATGGTACCAAATTAAAACATAAACTAAATATTAGATATAATTTTGAAATTAAATGAAATTTATATATCAAAACGGAACAGAAATAATAGCTTAGGTACTGCACTTATAGTTTAAATTAGTAGGACATATGGTTTTCCAAGAATTGAGGAAGTGAGAATGGCAGATAGGGAGGAAAGGTGGGTGTGTTACGTGAGAAAATTCACCAAAAATACGATTTTGGTCTCGTAATTTGTAATTCGTACGAGTAGCGTTCAATACCAACTCCCTTCCTTTTCTTACAACCACCCAAATTTAAATATTTTTTTTCTAAATTGAACTAATAGAAAAACATTTTTTTATTAATCTTACTTTTTACAAATTTTCATTTTAATCGTTTCTTTAATATATTTTTAAATATTTTTTAATGATTTAAATATATTTAAAAAAAATTTAATATGTTGATTTTAAAATACTTTTTTGATTTTTTATATAAAATGATAAAATAACTAACACTTACATTGAAAAAAATAAAATAGTTTACAGCATGATAAGTTTTTCTTTTATCATTAATTGATTTAATTCCATAAAAAATAAGTACCAAAAGAGAAAAAAACATAAAGACTAAAATATTAAAAAAAAAAGATGAAGAGAAAAAATAGCATTAAATATATATATATATATATATATATATATATATATATATATATATATATATATATATATATATATATATATATATATATATATACTATCAATTTAATATTAATAATAAATTTATATTTTTTCTTTAAATTTTGAATTTCTTAAATTGAGAATTCATTTTAAAATATGTTTTTAATTTTTATTGCCTATTTATACTGTTTTATTTTTATAATAACATAGCATTCATTTTTTTCTTTTCCATATTAGAAGGCATATATAAGCCAAAGCTTTGAGAGCTTCGAGCATGAGTTTCGCTCTCGCTCGCTTGTTCTAACATGTCCTTTTCTCTTTCTCTCTAGTCTCTCAGTTGATTCAATGCTTCACGAGCATTTGACAGAGAGTTGATTCGCTGAGTTGCTTAACAAAATAGAGGGAAATGGGAAGGGCTCCTTGTTGCTCAAAAGTGGGGTTGCGTAGAGGTCCATGGACTCCAAGAGAAGACAAGTTGCTGGTCAACTACATTCAAGCTCATGGTGAAGGTCACTGGAGATCCCTCCCCAAGAAAGCTGGTAAACAAATTACTTCAATTTCTACTTCCATTCCAACTCAAATTCACGATTCCAATCTGTGAAACTATTTGCAGGTCTACTTAGGTGTGGAAAGAGTTGCAGGCTGAGATGGTTGAACTATCTAAGACCAGACATTAAGAGAGGGAATATAACCCCAGACGAAGAAGATCTCATCATCAGATTACATTCACTTCTCGGCAACCGTTGGTCTCTCATCGCCGGAAGGCTCCCTGGTCGAACCGATAATGAGATTAAAAACTACTGGAACACCCACCTCCGCAAAAGATTTGTAACCCAAGGCAATACCCGCAAAAAACCATCACTGCAGAAGAGGAAGAAAAGCAAAGCAAAGCCAACACTAAAGCCTGCAGAAGAAGAACTACCCAAACTCCATATCCCTAAACCCATTAGGGTAACTTTGTCTTTACCAAGAAACGACGGCTCCGATCAATGCAATACGTTTAGCACACCGCCTTCGATCCAAGGAGAGGAAGGGGGTTTAGCTACCGAAGTTATACAAGCTACTTGGTCACAGTATGTCAATGATGGTGAAAGCCGGACAGGGTTTCTTTCAACTTATAATAATGAATATGATGGTCTTGTTAATGGGTTGGATTTGGAGTGCCACTCTCCTGTACCAACAAGTGAAGATGATAATGGTCTTAAGAAACTTTACACAGAGTATCTGCAGCTTTTGAAAACAAACGAAGATCGAGTGCAGTTGGATTCTTTTGCTGAATTGCTGATCTGATGGATAAAAATGATATAAAAACTAAAGTGATGTTGTGGTTAGTTAATTATGTGTGGAAATGTGAAACTAGTTTGAGGTTGATTTGCTCCCGATCAAGTTGATTGAAGTTGAATCATAGATTTTCACGTGCTTGCCTTTCTGTCTCCGATTACCTACTGAGTAAAGGGCATAAAATCAATATGTTTAAATATATTTACTTTTGTATATTTTTATATGAGAAAATAGGATTCTTATGGTAATGATAAGACAAAGTGGTAGTTGAAACTTCTTTAACCAATTATGGATTTGATTCACTACCCTCAAGAGATTTAAAGTTTTACCATATATGACTTGTTTTTTAATAGTTGATATTTCATTTATCGATAGATTAATTTAAATCGTGTATTACATGGTTATATTTGTGTGAGGGTGATTATGTACTCACTTTAGAATCTGAATTTTCATTTTTATGATTATGTCCATCCTTTAATTTTATTTATGTTCACCTCAAATCCAATTTTCTTAATTCACAATGCTAAAATTCAAATCTCTTACCTTGCTTAAGGGATCAAATATATCATCCCGCTAAACTAACTGATTGTTTGTATTATATGAAATAATTTTATATTATTAAAGTTAATATTCAATAATTTAATAAAAAATGTTATCGAATTTATGATATTTTAGAACAAGAATCCGTTATAAAATCATCATGATTATATCTTCACATCACCAAGATTAAATTTTGAATATACAACATACCTCAACATCGCCATGATCAAGACTTTCTGTTCATGGAGGTCAAAGCAAATTCTAACTGGTGTTTCAGGCGCTTATTGAAACTTAGGGCAGTTGCTACTCCTGTTTTATCTACAGGATCTACTAAAACAAAAGATTTCTGGAAAGAACTACGAGTAAAAGGAGATAAAGTCCAATGACACAAATTGATATGGTTTTCCCTACACATTCCCAAACATAGCTTGATTACGTGGATGGTGCTTTTAGATAGACTCCCAACTAAAGAGAGATTCCTTAGAATGGAAATTGTTATTGATGGCTCATGTATAATCTGCAAAGAGGCTACGGAGACTAGGTATCACCTGTTCAGTGACTGTACTCTGGCAATTTCCATATGGAATAATATTCTTAATCTCTCTGGTTTAGACACTCTTCCTTTACCATGGGTGACCAAGTTAGACTGGGCCTGTAGTGCTTGGAAAGGTAAGTCCCTTCTCACTACCATCTTGAAACTTGCTTGGTGTGCTTTTATCTATTCCATGTGGGAAGAAAGAAATAGAAGATTATACCGAGGAAGCACAAGAAGTGTGGAAGAAATTGCGAACTCTATTAAGGATACTGTAGGTATTCAATTAAGAGGAATGAATATAAATAAATTAGATAGTATGAATATTTACCTTTGTAATCGTTGGGGAGTTTAACCATCGATTTTGTTGTAAGTAGGCTGTAATTTATCCCATTTATGTAATATTTTTTGTATCATAATTCTGCATTTTGAGTAATAAAATTAAAATTATCCAAAAAAAAACATTGTCATGATCTTCCTCATCACCGAAACGGAAGTTCGATCACACAACATATTTCTAGATCACCAAAGTTTGAAATTTGTAACATCAAGAACCAAAAGTTTTAAATTTGTAACAACACCAACCAAAAGTTTGAAATTTGTAACAAGAACCAAAAGTTTGAGATTTGAAATTTGCAACAACAAGAACCAAAGTCTGAAATTTGTAACAACAAGAACCATAGATTCTATGACATGTCAAATATACCCAAACCCGTCAAATGACTAATGATGTTGTAACGTGCAGTGTTTGATGACAACATTGTTTAGACCGATCTATCACATGTCAACAACTTGATTAATTGTTGAAAATTGAGATTTTTTTTCAAGTTCGAATATCAATTCAAGAGTTTTTTTTTTTTTTAAGTTCATATACTAATTTGAGAGTTCTTTACCAAAATTCGATTAGAACGTCGGAAACAAAATTTCTTAACCAAAGTCGGGTCAGAATGTTCCAAACAAATAGGCTGATAAAAAAAAAAAACAGATTTGAGTGAGAGTATTATAAGAAAGGAAGAGGTAAAAATGAATTTTAAACTCAAAGCACTCCAAGGTATTGCTGAATTTCACTTTCCCTTTGAGCTCTTTTAGACACAACTCATCCTGAATAAAGGGCGTCTACTGCATAGAATTGCATCCTCATAAATCCCCAAAAACTGCGAAACAATACTACGACTCAACTGCAATAATATTTCTAACGTGAGTAGGTAATCTCTATGGTTTGCTCAGGGGGTTCTGAAATTGGAAGAGATGCACATTTCATCTACACCGAGAGCCCACAAATTGCCCAACATACTTATTCAAAACAGATTCCCCTGCTAATACTGTATATGGCAGCATACTTAAACATGAAGGGTATGATTCCCTTGGTATATGAAAATTTTCAAAATTTTAAGCATACTCACATTCAACATATACATTCATCATCTTTTAAGTCTGGATAACATAGCTCTCCTTGTTTCACTTACTTATAGCTCTGCTTGAAATTCCAAGGCACAATAGTTTAAATTAAAATACAAAAAGAAAAGGAAAAGCCACAAGGAAACACATTAAGAGCGAAATTTATCAAAATTGAACATAAAGGTAACTATTCCAGTCATCGGAATCATTCAACCATTGATTCGGTTAAAACCCATTTTGTTAGTAATTTTTGTTTTAAAAGGAGTAAAAATTGATTCGCTAGCTCGCTGTCCTTATTCATGGCTTCATCCCTAAATAACAAAATTTAAATGAAAAAAAAACGTAATTCCACTGAAATCTCAATAATATGATGCATCCGCAAATAAGTTGAAAATCGTAAAGCTGCATATCCAAACGAAAGGGAAGCTAATAAAGAGAACGGAATTCAGAATTTCCATTGAAATTATCATTAAAAGGATAAGACAATTGACATCAAATTATAAACCAAAGTAAACGCGAATTGATTGAATGATTCTGCAAAAGATGAGAATCAAACCCTAAAAGATGAAAGAATCAAACGTTGAGCTTATCGGCGGTGAGGTGGGCCCCAGCGACTGGTTCTGCAAAAGATTGAGGCTCGTCGTGGATCACGGGCTTGATGAAAATGAGAGGGCGGTCCTTGGCTTCCTCTTCATCATTGAAATCGGTGGTGCTGAGGTTAATACAGGAACACCGCTCCAATGAAGCGAAAAATGCAGACGCCATGCTAGTGCCCACCCAGCTAAACATGCGATCTAGCTTGTCGCATGATAAGAAACCGCCACTGTTGTCCATCGCCTGATATGATCAAATCTATTGGGTATCTTTATTTTGTAGAAACAGAGATCGACTAGTGGGAGAATGAACTAGTTTCTTCCTTTTATTTGGTGATTCTGTTCGTTGGCGTAAAGCTAAGCGGCTGCCATAGCATTTTTCAGCTATCCAATTTGTCTACTACTTATGTTATGCCTTGTTTATAAACTAATGGTTTTGGGTACTGGCCGAAAAAAACTAATGGATTTGGGCCCTTGGGTACTTCCGCACCATCATCTCGTTGTAAAAAGAAGAAGATAAATTACATGTTTAGTCACTTAAATATTACTTTAATTTTGTTTTAGTTACTTATTAAAAAAATTAACGGTGACACTGACGTAATGTAAGATTGTAAACGAGCTGAGTCAAGCTCGAGTATTGTTGAGCTTGACTCAACTCGAAAACTCGTGAGCTTAAATTTATCAAGCTTGACTCGAATTCGAAATAAAAAATTGAAACTCAACTCGATTGAAAGCTCACAAGTATAAAATTTTCAAGCTCCACGCGAGCATAAAATAACTTTAGTTTATGATTTTGAATATTACACGATAAATTTTAAAGTTTTTTATAAATAATTTTCAATTAAATAACTTTCTATTTTATGTGTAAAACAAATCGACGATGGTTTAGTATTTTCCTAACAAAATTCAATAATATTTATCAATTTTAATGATTGAATTCTACCTAATTTATTTATTTATCTCTAAATTATCTTTTATATATATTATTAAATTTGATTTTTGAAAAAATTGATTCATTTCTAATAATTAGGTTGGCTGAATTTTTCGAATAAAGCATTGGGAGAAAAATAATTCGTCAGATAATGTTATGTAGAGATTATTTTGTCGAATGGGGTGATTACTACAATATACCTTGGAGTCGTGTTGTGCTCCCGCTTCAACCCAACCCCTCGAATTCACATGGAAACCTATGTGTTTTTGCCATGGAAGTCGTATGGGAAGCCATGCATGTTACAACTCTAATGGCGCATAGGGTGCGTGGCATCTCCCACTGCCACACTACATGGGTCATGCACTAATCATGTAGGTGGTAACTTGTAGCTGACATTCAAATGATAAAAGTTGAAGTTGTCCATTTCCCAACCCACACCTTGTAAAAACAAGTTGAACATATTTTTTTCTTTCAGTTATATATATGTAATAATGAAATCGGGAGTGACCATCTAAAAACTAAAGATAGGAGCAACAATTAGAGGATAGTGCAATTGATAGAGGGAGCAATTGCAAAGAAGATTAATAGAGGGAGCATTTAAGAAAATTTGGTTTGTTTTTTTATTTCGTTATTCTAATTTGAGTATGTATTATGTGGTAAATTGATTTAAATTTGTTTTATTTTGTCTCAAATTAGTCCAATAGTTTGTTAAAAAATTTTGCAGAAAAAAAAAACGATGAATTAAGTTTGAAGAAATTTTATATAAGATATTTTACCATTGATTATTATGTTAATATTATTTTTATAAATATTTGTAGTTGTATTTTACCTTTTCTAGATTTATTATTGATATGTTAATATTATTTTTATAATAATTTTATATTGTATAATATCATTTTATGATTTATAATCATAATGTACCTTTATTTTTTTATTTTAAATATAAATTTTGAATTTGTAGAGAAAATAAACAACAACTTTGTTAGTGTAATTTTTCAATCTGAAAACTTATAAAGAGGAAGGAATTATTAATTATGTGTAAAAATGAAGCAAATGATAAAAAGAGGGGGCCATGGGAT